CGCGATAGACAGGGACATATCAGACTATCTTAATGATTATGACGTGAAGTCTGAGGATCTACTTCCTCATGAACTAGATAAAGAAATAACAAAGATTGAGATTCTGGCTGCTATTAAAAAAGTTAAAGCTAACAAAGCTTGTGGACAGGATGTTTTTTTTAATGAATATTTTATCAATTGCAAAGATATTTTAATGCAATGTTTATTGTTATTATTCAATAATATATTCAAGTCTGGTTGTTTCCCATCATCGTGGTCACTTGGTAATATAGTTCCTGTTTTTAAAAAAGGTGACATTAATAACACGGACAACTATAGAGGTATCACCTTGTTAAGTTGTGCTGGTAAACTTTTTACTGCTATCATAAATAAAAGACTTTTATCGTTTGAAATGAAATATAATAAAGTAACAGACGCCCAGTTTGGATTAAGAAAAATCGCTTCTACTGTAGACGCCATTTTCGCCTTACAATCTTTAATCGTACTTAAAGAAAAACCCGTCTCTATTGTTGTTTTATAGATTATACAAAAGCGTTTGATTTTATTAATAGACATAATTTATGCTATAAAATGATCAAAGAAGGTGTAGAAGATCATTATATAAAAGTGTGAAATGTTGTGTTAAATATAATGGTACTCTCTCCGAATGTTTTGATATTGAAAACGGATTATTTCAGGGGGAAATATTATCACCCCTTTTGTTTGCTATATATGTAAATGATTGTGAAATGCAGTTTTTATCAGATAATTGTCCATCTATTGAAATACAGGATATCAATATGTTTTTACTTATGTATGCAGATGATATGGTGATTATATCTGAAACACCAGAGGGTTTGCAAACAATGTTAGACTCTCTTGCAAATTATAACAAAAAATGGGATTTGACCGTAAATACTGGGAAAACAAAAATTGTCGTGTTTAGAAATGGAGGGATATTAAGGGGAAATGAAATATGGTTTTACGAAGGAAATAAATTGGATGTTGTCGATCAATTCAATTACCTTGGTGTACTATTGAATTTTAACGGAAAATTTAGACATACTCAAAAGCAAGTTGCTGACCAGGGGAGAAAAGCTTTGTTTGCATTATTAAATGTTTGTAAGAAAAAATATTTTAATATAGAAACTCAATTGTCTGTTTTTGATACTTATGTAAATAGTGTTTTACGTTACGGAGCAGAAGTATTGGGCTTCCATGCCGCACCAGACATCGAAAAATTGCATGTGAGATTCTGCCAACAAATATTAGGATTACATAAAAAAAACTAGTAATGTTATGGTGTATTATGAACTTGGAAGATATCCCATGAAAATAGTTGGAAAATTACGAATATTCAAATATTGGATAAAACTGAGAAATGTAGGAAATTGCATTCTAAGGTCATGCTATGATGATATACTTTGTAATAATGACATTTTGCTAATGAGTGTAAAACAAGATTTATACAGAATTGGTCTTGGAAATGTGTGGGAATCCTCCTGTTTAAATAATAACACTTTTCATATTATAAAAGAACGTCTTTGTGACATATTCAGACAAGAATGTTTTGAAAAAAATCAATCTTCTCCTAAAGGAGCATTGTATCAATATGTGTGTAATTTTGGTCACCAGTATTATTTATCAAAACCTGTTAATATAAATTATTTAAAACAAATATGTAAAATTCGAATGTCTGCACATAAGTTAAAAATTGAGTGTGGCAGATATAATAGAACTGATAGACAAAACAGATTGTGTACAGTATGTGACCTGAATGATGTCGAGGATGAGTTCCATTATATTTTAAAATGTCCTTGCTATATTGATATAAGGTTGAAACCAATTAAGAAATATTATGTAAGACATACAAGCATGTATAAATTAATTCAACTGCTTACTTGTGAGAATGTATCCGACATTAGAAATCTGGGCAAATTTTTAATACAAGCAAACAAAAGGAGATCTGAGCTGATTGCTGGTTAGTGTTCACTCTCCACGGTGTGTTTGTGTGTGTAGGCGTGTGTGTTTGTATGTGTGTGTGTATCATATTGTATGTTGTCTCTGTATTGTTTTGTATATATGTTATAACTGATAAGTCAACCGACTTAAAGTAATAATGAACTTGAACTTGAACGCAATATCATAATAAACCAGTAGGTACTTACACCAAAACAATACCAAACCGATACACGTTGGACCCAATGATACAATGTGATAGTCGGGGGTTCAGATCACTGACACGCTGCGTCAGTAAACTGTTAGATGCCAATTAGCACCCGTAAAATGGTGATTGTAGTATTCAAAAATCAAACGAAAGGTGCAGTAACGAGTGTATTCACGGCGAGTAAACGATTTATTATAGTTATTTATTTATTTGACGATTTATTATAGTTATTTGTTTTATTTGAAGATTTATTATAGTTAATTTTTTTTTAAGTTAAAGATTTATTATAGTTATTTATTTAAATTTGAAGATTTATTATAGTTATTTATTTATTTGACGTTTTATACAGTTATTTATTTATTTGACGATTTGATTTATATAGTTATTTATTTTATTTGACGATTTATTATAGTTATTTATTTATTTGACGATTTATTATAGTTATTTATTTATTTGAAGTTTTATTATACTTACTTATTTATTTGACTATTTGATTTATATGTTTATTTATTTTATTTGACGATTTATTATAGTTATTTATTTATTTGACGGGTTATATAGTGTTTTACTAATTTGACGATATATTATGGTTGTTTATTTATTTGACGATTTATAATAGTGATTTATCTATTTGACGATTTATACAATTATCTATTTATTTGACGATTTATTATGATTATTAATTTATTTGACGATTTATTATAGTTATTTATTTATTTGACGAGTTTTATAGTTTTTTTACTTATTTGACGATTTATTGTGGTTATTTACTTATTTGACGATTTATTGTGGTTATTTATTTATTTGACGATTTATTATAGTTATTTATTTATTTGACGATTTATATAATTATATACTTATTTGACGAGTTATTATTATAGTTATTTATTTGACGACTTATTCCGAAATACAGCTGAACCTTTCTACTGAAACTGACACGTTGGTTGTAGAATTTTCAGATTTTTTCTCAGGACAAGATGAATACTGCAGGTAAACGAGAGCGATCCTGACAATAACATGCTACAGGTAAACATAGGGTAGAAACACACATGATTCCTCGATGTCTTTAAAAGGACGTTGTATATATATGTCTTTTTAAATTTTGAAAAATACCCTGTTAGCACTTCTGATAGAAAACTGAAAAGAATCAATATACACAAGAAACAATAATCTTCTCTATGGGTAATTATATATGGACACACTCAATAGTCTGAACTAGCAAATGTATTCATAGTAGCTATGTCACTACTACACATAGGCCACATACAAAAACGTTACATCGTCTAGCAAACAGCAACATTGAAAGACATTTCACGTCAAATCGACCGATTGAAAATAATTCGTTATAACTAAGAGATAGTTCTATACAGCCAACCAAAACAGAAATTTATTTACAAAAAAACGTCCGCAAAAATACACAGCTCTCAATTGTCCTAAAATAAACGCTTTTATTACGTAGGGTGAAATTCCCGCGGCTTTTTTCTATGAATTTAAATTTTACCTGAACATTCTATTTTGTCGTATATTTTGTTCAAGCGTTTGAGAACTATAAGCGATTTGAAGTACGCCTTACTGAACATGTCCATTACACAGGAAACTGGTATAAACAGTAGAATATCCATTCTACCATATCCTTTGGGGTTTTTCTCACATCGACTAATAATATTGATAACCTTAAAATTTATAAATATAACAGTGTATAAACTTGATAAAATTGATGTGTTCATGTCATTAATTTTAGTTTCAGCCGAATATATTGAGAACATTTTAAACCAAGTATTTAAAGCATGCCCAAAAGCGACTTTGTGATGGAGTTTATTTAACATGTGGACATTGCGATTCGTTTACTGTATTTTATGTCTCGTTTATAGACAACCAATATTGTTCTGCCTCAGTAATGCATTCCCTGTTCAGCACAGACATATTCCCATCGAGATCGAATATTATACTAGCAAACACAATATACACAGAGATGACAATATGAAACAAAATCATTCATACCACAGATTCGTCGGATTGTCATATCAAGCGATTTCAGCCATAAGCCTCTGCCAATTATCAATAAGTGGCTTTTTTTTTTATCTCACACATTATTCAAATATCATAAACTTCATAAATAAATTGTTTAAAACGTTAGAAATTAGTAGCTGAAACAAGTTTGCATCAGTATACATGTGACCACCATCGTTTTATTATAGGTAAACAAACGTAGAAGGTCAGCAGGTTCTTATTCCTATTTCGCTGATATATTTTGCTTATAGAAAATCGAGCAAATAACACACAGCACATAATAAATATTGTTTTCTTTTCCAATGGAAAAATGCGTGTAAGCTTGTACATTAATTTTAGATAAATCAACATGTTTTCTTAGTCTTCAAAACCTTGTAACTAAATCAATATCAATAAATTAAGACATGAAATAAAAACATGACTTTCAAAACAAAATTTAAGATAGAACAAAGCACAACAATGCTTTGTAATGATTTGTGTTATAGCGGTTTGTTAATAGCTTAATCTGATACGGTAACATACCTTTCTGTAACTAGCTTAATCTGATACGGTAACATACCTTTCTGCAACTAGCTTTATCTGATACGGTAACATACCTTTCTGTAACTAGCTTTATCTGATACGGTAAAATACCTTTCTGTAACTAGCCTTATCTGATACGGTAACATACCTTTCTGTTACTAGCTTTATCTGATACGGTAACATACCTTTCTGTAACTAGCCTTATCTGATACGGTAACATACCTTTCTGTGATTAGCTACTGAGTAACAGAACTTTATATGTTCAATCATCCCATAGATGTAGTTTTGTCCCTGAATCTTCATTCCTTCTTGAGACCTGACATTAAGTTGTGGTGATGACGGCACTAGTAGCGGCAGGTAAAGGCACCACCCTGTTTTTCTTCTTCGTGATAAGGTTGAGAAACGCTCGTCTGTACCTTGAGTGAAGTAAGGGGTAGAGTACAGGATTTATGGTAGAGTTGATCCAAAGTAACCAAAAGATCACCTCGAAAAGAACTAGATCCACGCAACCCCCACATATAGTTGATACCAGGGCTGTTACTTCGAAGGGCATCCAACAAATTGCGAAGGTCAACACCAGGATAAAAAGTGAACGCGCGGCTTTACGATCTTGCTGAAAACTTTTATTAGCATTGTTAGTGGAATGTCCTCCCTTCTTGGGTTCTGGTGCTTGATCAGTGTTCTGATTATTCCCTGCAGTAGCCGGAGCAGTGACGGCCTTCATGAAACGCTTGCTCCTCTGTCGGATTGTTATGTACACGAGAATGTTGAAGGTGGCTACCATGATAAATGGAAAAATAAATTCAATCAAAGTGCCGCCGAGTAGCATCATAATGCTTTCGTTGTAAGGAAGAAAACATGTATTTTCAGGAATAATGGGACCTTGACCAACTTCCCATAATGTAATGGCGGGAAGAAAGAATAGAGCAGGAAGAAGCCAAGGAATCACTAGCAGGGCGACCAAAAGTTTGTTAGTCCTGTTCGTACGTGCCCATAAAGGGTGACCAACCTGTAGGTAACGATCAAAACTGATGCAACAAATGTTTAGTGTGGACGCTGCAGGTGTAACATAGTCGAACACGAGCCAGAGAAGGCAAACACCATGCCCAAACGGCCAATTTCCGGTTAAGAGTAATGGCGCATATAACGGTATGCAGAAGGATCCGATGATTAAATCGGAGATGGCGAGGTTCACGATGAGGCAGTCACTAAATTGTCGGACGGATTTATCTTTAGCAAAAATGATGAGAACAATGAGGTTTCCTCCCATGGTCAGGATGATCATGATAGTAATTAGTACAGCAATCACAACCAGAACCGGAAGTGACATAGCTGAGTCCTCGGCAGCCCCTTCGGTGATATTGGTCGACATCACTGTCCCGTGTATAATATCAATCCAATCAGCGTCTATTTGATGACAATATAATGAAATAGTCTGACGTTTTATAATAGAATCCTCTTACGAGAATGTCAAGCAATACGTGACTGCATCACATATAATAAAATACTCAGTTATCTCATATGCACAGAACAGACAGGTGACCAAAAGTCTGTTATAGTCGTCCGGTCACGTTTCCATCTGAATATCTCATAACAAATTCAATACACTTGTTTGTATTACTTTATATGCAAATCAATATCTCGTTCTTCTCCGATCCGATCAAATTTCATCAATTGTATATATGTTGTTTTGTCAACAAACCCCACGCAATATTCAGAATTATATTCATAGAGCTATCTGTTATTAATTTCAAACTGCACGAGCTCCCTCCTTTAAATCAGTGTTGGGACTACACGTCAATACAGTTCTTTCTTTGCCCGTGGCACAATTGTGCAGAAAAAAAATCCCGATTAAAATCCTTCTCTGTTTGCTCTCATGTGAACCGCAAGAGAAAATCCTTTGACCATTATTGTCCAGCAAACCTACACGCAGACTTTTTAATGGCCCTGGATGTGCCGTTCCAATGCTAATTGAGTTCTGACGACTTTACCTGGGAAGCTGGTCGAAGAATTGTAAAATTCCGTCTGATTTGTAATGTACCAAAATGTCAAAGCTTAGCTGTCAATCACGATTTGTCACAGAAGGGGAGTGGCTTTATCATACCAATACACCATACAGATCTACTTGCTATATATCTATGTGTTGATCAATACAACAGGTTCCCTAACCATTATTAAGAGAGCGAGTGTTTATTTTGACAAACAAACTCTTACTCTTACTTGGAGATAGCATGTGATATTTGTTTATGTAGATATGCTCAATCAATTTATCGCACTTTTTACAAACTACGGCGTCAACAGATTGACAACAGCGGTTCAAATTTCTGTTAAGTTATCAAGACATACAGTAAACATTTCATAATAGTTGTTTTATAAATTGTTTTGCAGTATATAAAATTTAAAATTTCTTGTATTCAGGGTATGTATTTGGATATTTGATTACTCAGTTTTAAGAATATGGTTTAATAAATGGGATGATAAACTCAAGCGAATTCCGGTTTTTTCATTGTTCAAGCTTAATGATCTCTGAACGAGCTTAGAGCTTTTTAACTTTTGCTTGTTTTATTTATAATACGAAAATGGGAAGTTCAGAAGTTCAAGCGTTCATTTCACGTTATAATTAGTAAAGCCTGCGTGATTTTTTATTTTTTTATTTGAACATTTGCATCAATAAACGTTTTTTTCCCGATATATAGATGGAGTATTTTGATTTGAAGACTTTAGCTGGAATATCTTCTGGTAGAGTTGACGTGAAATACTAGTTAAAGACTAAAGTATCTGCTGTGGTCAAACGTTTTAGACTTGTTACGTTATACAGGGTTTTGATGGACACCTTTCCGCTTTGCTGTATTTGCACATACCAAATAAATAGTGAATAGTTTTCTTCAAATTGAATCTATTTTCAAAATAATGGAAATAAAAAACCGGGAATTTTAGCCTGTTCTGTTTTTTTAATTAAGTCGTGTGTAATTTTATCACATTCACAAAAACAACAAAAATCAGTCGAATTGGAATAGGTTGTGTAGGCTTACCCCTGGCAAGATAAAAATTATATCTCTCGTGACATTGACCAGAAATATAATATCTCTTGCGTGATCATTGGCCCAGCATTGGCGACAATATTTCTTTTTGTTGGTCATTTTTTCATATTTTCGTATTTCAAAGTTTCCTCACCTATTTCTTAGTTTAAATCAATTTTATTGCAACAAAAGACAAATGGATGTGACAAAAGTTATTGCAACTTACTTACGTCCTTTCCGTAACAGAATATATATATACAAAATTAATGTGTCACGTAATAACGTTACAGCAAAAGAGGTAATGATAGGATTAGGGACAACAACGTATAGTTTTTAAATATGTATTCGGAGAGTTTACTTGAGATCGCGTGTGTGATTTTCCTAATCGAGTAGTATACGTAGGTATAAGTAGTATACCTATTTCTTAATTATTTTCCTCAAGTCTTCGAAACATGACCAACATTGAATTTTCCCGTATGTTTGGAACGAAGCCCTAATTTCATGATTAAGAGGCTCCATTTTTCTCTGCATGTATAGAGGACATTGCGTTCTGTTGCTTGTGTGATTCATGGCTGTTATTAGGGGTGTACACCAGTTTGGGGTGACATACGGGGTGGCAACACAGGTGTTGGAATAGCGATATAGAGAGGGTTAATAGGGGTTAGAATAGTTGTGTCGTATTGCCTATTCGAATCCTCGTATTTGCTGAATGTAATTAAGCACTGTTTTTTTCACGTAAAAGTAAGAGCTAATGTTGCATTACATTTGTTCATTTCTTTTATCAATTTTATCGGGAATGTTACACAATTAAATCCTCTAAAATAAATCCGTTAAATCATTACGAGAGTAGATTTTTCTCACTTCGCCTCTGAGATTCCTTAGGGGACCAGCCATTCCTTGTGTGTTGGTGTCTCCTCAGTTCATGTCGTTGCTTTTGTATCTACTTTGATATCGGTTGTTTTACTTGTGTGTTGACACTGGCATATTTCCCCGTATTGAAGTTATCATTGAATTAAATGTTCTGCCTTCTCAAAAGTGGAACTAACACCAAAGAATGGAACCTAACTGCCAAAGACACGTTGCGTTATACATTTAGAGTAAAAATGATAGATCGACCAGACTAAAAGTGTACGTGATACTTGAACAATGTCACAACATGTACGTAACGAGTTTACGCACTGGGGACGATGTCGCTAGGTGTGGGAAGGGTCTGGGGATCACTGGGGACGATGTCGCTAGGTGTGGGAAGGGTCTGTGGGATCACTTGGGACGATGTCTCTAGGTGTGGGAAGGGTCTGGGGGATCACTGGGGATGATGTCGCTAGGTGTGGGAAGGGTCTGTGGGATCACTGATGACGATGTCGCTAGGTGTGGGAAGGGTCTGGGGGATCACTGGGAGTTTACGCAGGACAATGTCGCTAGGTGTGGGAAGGGTCTGTGGGATCACTGATGCCGATGTCGCTAGGTGTGGGAAGGGTCTGGGAGATCACTTGGGACGATGTCTCTAGGTGTGGGAAGGGTCTGGGGATCAGTATGAGTTTACGCAGGACGATGTCGCTTGGTGTCGGAAGGGTCTGGGGGATCACTGTGAGAGTACGAAGGACGATGTCGCTAGGTGTGGGAAGGGTCTGGGGGATCACTGGGGACGATGTCGCTAGGGGTGGGAAGGGTCTGGGGGATCACTGGGGACGATGTCGCTAGGTGTGGGAAGGGTCTGTGGGATCACTGTGAGTTTACGCAGGACGATGTCTCTAGGTGTGGGAAGGGTCTGGGGGATCACTGGGGACGATTTCGCTAGGTGTGGGAAGGGTCTGGGGGATCACTGGGGACGATGTCGCTAGGTGTGGGAAGGGTCTGGGGGATCACTGGGGACGATGTCGCTAGGTGTGGGAAGGGTCTGGGGGATCACTGGGGACGATGTCGCTAGGTGTGGGAAGGGTCTGGGGGATCACTGGGGACGATGTCGCTAGGTGTGGGAAGGGTCTGGGGGATCACTGGGGACGATGTCGCTAGGTGTGGGAAGGGTCTGGGGGATCACTGGGGACGATGTCGCTAGGTGTGGGAAGGGTCTGGGGGATTACTGGGGACGATGTCGCTAGGTGTGGGAAGGGTCTGGGGGATCACTGGGGACGATGTCGCTAGGTGTGGGAAGGGTCTGGGGGATTACTGGGGACGATGTCGCTAGGTGTGGGAAGGGTCTGGGGGATCACTGGGGACGATGTCGCTAGGTGTGGGAAGGGTCTGGGGGATCACTGGGGACGATGTCGCTAGGTGTGGGAAGGGTCTGGGGGATCACTGGGGACGATGTCGCTAGGTGTGGGAAGGGTCTGGGGGATCACTGGGGACGATGTCGCTAGGTGTGGGAAGGGTCTGGGGGATCACTGGGGACGATGTCGCTAGGTGTGGGAAGGGTCTGGGGGATCACTGGGGACGATGTCGCTAGGTGTGGGAAGGGTCTGGGGGATCACTGGGGACGATGTCGCTAGGTGTGGGAAGGGTCTGGGGGATCACTGGGGACGATGTCGCTAGGTGTGGGAAGGGTCTGGGGGATCACTGGGGACGATGTCGCTAGGTGTGGGAAGGGTCTGGGGGATCACTGGGGACGATGTCGCTAGGTGTGGGAAGGGTCTGGGGGATCACTGGGGACGATGTCGCTAGGTGTGGGAAGGGTCTGGGGGATCACTGGGGACGATGTCGCTAGGTGTGGGAAGGGTCTGGGGGATCACTGGGGACGATGTCGCTAGGTGTGGGAAGGGTCTGGGGGATCACTGGGGACGATGTCGCTAGGTGTGGGAAGGGTCTGGGGGATCACTGGGGACGATGTCGCTAGGTGTGGGAAGGGTCTGGGGGATCACTGGGGACGATGTCGCTAGGTGTGGGAAGGGTCTGGGGGATCACTGGGGACGATGTCGCTAGGTGTGGGAAGGGTCTGGGGGATCACTGGGGACGATGTCGCTAGGTGTGGGAAGGGTCTGGGGGATCACTGGGGACGATGTCGCTAGGTGTGGGAAGGGTCTGGGGGATCACTGGGGACGATGTCGCTAGGTGTGGGAAGGGTCTGGGGGATCACTGGGGACGATGTCGCTAGGTGTGGGAAGGGTCTGGGGGATCACTGGGGACGATGTCGCTAGGTGTGGGAAGGGTCTGGGGGATCACTGGGGACGATGTCGCTAGGTGTGGGAAGGGTCTGGGGGATCACTGGGGACGATGTCGCTAGGTGTGGGAAGGGTCTGGGGGATCACTGGGGACGATGTCGCTAGGTGTGGGAAGGGTCTGGGGGATCACTGGGGACGATGTCGCTAGGTGTGGGAAGGGTCTGGGGGATCACTGGGGACGATGTCGCTAGGTGTGG